ATCTAACTTCAAGGGTTTTATGAGGATTAAATAGAATAGTGTCAGACATTGGGCACACGGTAGGTTCTCAGCATGTGACAATTTTCATACGAGTATTATGAACTATTCCTGTTTTTTATGAGACTTGACTTCCAGCCCTGTCTCTGCTGCTAACGAGGCAGGGGACATGGGACAATGGCGTAAGCCTTTTGAGGTTCTTCTGTGAGTTGAGGCTTGGTGGAGGTCTGTGGTTTTGAGAACTGGAAGGCAGGGCCTGCTCAAGCTCTGCAGCATTTCTGTCTTCTGTCTTCAGACCTGAGTTAGCAACCCAGGGGCTTCCTTCTGCGATGAGGGCCCTGGCAGGTCAGAGAGCCACTCAGAGAACTAGCTGAGCTCTTTCCCTCTTCCTCAGCAAACTGTCCCTTCCCCATCTTGGAGAGCAGACCGGGAGTGGGGTCCACTGCAAAACAGTCCCTCTGTATCCTGGAGAAGCATGCACACGTGGCTCGCTGTAATTTTGGCTTCATTTAGGTGTGCTGGATTTACGCTTAACTCTTCCTGACTCTGAGAAATCGCGCTGTAAGAGGCCAATTAGATTAAGAACTTTGAAAGGAGAAAACCAGCATTGTAACTAAATAAAACTTGTAGTGGGTGATGGCCTAAGGCCACTGTTCCGTGTCCTTGGGAGTTGACCTCCTAGGGCTTTCCATGCAAACATTTCATTTTAAAAGAAAAAAAAAAAACAATTAACCACAATGCTACTGGCAGTTTCCTCCATAGATAGCAATTAAAAACCTGTCTGATGCTCTCACAGGCAGGGTGACATCCTAGGTCATTGTCAACCTTCCTGACTACAGAAATGACCTGAGAATACAGAGAGAGCCTGTGTTCCCCAGGTCGAGTGCCTGGCAAGGACACCAGCACACCACAGGCACTTGGAGATTCGTTCAGTGAATAGATGAGTGTGTGGAATAACTGTTAATGAACTGTTTGCCTGTCACATCATGTTGGATTGCATTGTGGGTCACTTGTTCTAGCCATGGCCAGACAACCCCGTCTCAGGCCAGGAGGAAACCATAGACGGGAGATGCGCTTTCTCTGGTACTCAAGTGTTGGTTCGGATGGGGCTGAGAGCTTTAGGCAGCTGGCTTGGAATCCCTTCTCTTGCTGTCATGAGACCTGGGCAAGTTACCCGACCCTGCTCTGCCTCAGTGTGCCCATCAGTAAAGTGGGCAAACTGCATAAAACGTGTGGATTACATGCGGGAAACATGCATGTTCCCAACAGGAACTACCACCCCGTGTGTGCCAGTCTCTAGACACACAGTGAGTCAGTGGACTCAGCTCGTGGGTGCACAATCAGCCCTCTGTATCTGCGGGTTCCATATCCATGGATTCAACCCACTGTGGAGACTATTAAAAAAATTGCATCTGTCCTGAACACGTACAGATCTTGTTCTTGTTATTATTTTCCAAACAGTACAGTGTGACAGCTATTTACAGAGCATTTGTGTTGCATTGACTACCGAAAGTCATGTGGAGATGGTTTTAAGGATGCTGGAGGAAGTATAAGGATTACTGGAACTCTGTTCTCTTTATACAAGGGACTGAGCGACCGTGGATTTTCACACTTGCAGAGGTTCCAGGACCCATCCTCCACGGACATCAAAAGGGATGACTATTATCACTGACCCTGCTGTGGTCTCCCAGGTGGCACAGTGGGCCCTTATTCTTACCATTTGGATGTGACCCTAAAACTCAAAACCCTGTGGTCAGAGTCTGAGAAAGGGCACAGTCAGGCTGAGCTTCTGGAGGCATCTGCATTAGGAGCTGGTCCTGGCTTATTTTAAATGCTGTGGTGTCCTGGGGGTGAGAGGCAGGCCGAGTAGGAGTTGTTTGTTCCAGAATCTGATTCTGAAGAACTCTAGGGTGTAGAGACTGTCACTGTCTCCCTCCCTGCTGTGACAATGACACCTAACACCGCCCCCCACCCCCAGCAGCCCAGAAGGCACCCCCAAACCTGCGTGTTTAATAAGCACCTGGAGCACATTGAGAGACCGCAGTGGTTTGGGTGTGTGAGTGACGTGGAGGATTTGGGGGACTTCATCTTTCCTGGCCTCTCTTGACTCTTGCCTCTCTTCCCCAGCAGGAGATCGGTTCCCTTTTGAATCAATGTGAGTGCGTGCGTGTGCGTGTGTGCGTGTGCGTGTGTGCGTGTGTGTGTGTGTGTGTGTGTGTCACAGACCTGAGTGTCCTATCCTGATGATCAAGGCTGGCCCAGGACCCAGGGGGCTGTGTCTTTGGCTGGTGGGCTGGCCAGGTTTGAGTCTTGGCTGGGCTGCTTCCCACCTCTATAGCCTTGACCTTAGACGGTTGAGTACGGTTCAGGGAGGCTCTGGATGGTGATGTGCGAAACACAGTCCCTTCACTGTGGCCTTCACCGTGGGAAGGCTCGTTCTTCCCGCACACACAGGCCCTCCACAAACTATGCGATTGTTATCATTCTCACAAAAGCATACAAGGCCCCTGTGGCTTTGGTGGCCTGGAGTGCCCAAGCCACTTTGCACGGCACCCCATGAAGTCATGGGGATGGCTAGAGGCACAGGATGCAGACCCCACACGGTCAAGGCGTCTTAAAGGCCTTGTATTAGAAAAATAAACCAATTAAATAATACTGCCCCATAAAAGTAGGCTTTTAATAGATCCACGGTAGTGTGGCAGTCCTGCAGCCCTGGCCCGATGAACCTGTCTGTCACGGGGTGGGGGGGGAGTGGGGGGGATCAATTTGGCATGGCGCAGGCATAATTTTACAAGTTTTATGGCTGTTTTTTTTCTCCTCTGAAGTGTTGCTATGTCATTGTGCACCAAGGACAACTTGTGTGCATTCAACAGTTTACCTTCTTTTTGGTGGAAATGAAAAATGAAGTAATAAATTAAAGAAAAACACAAGGTAGATTTTCCCCTTCTTGTTGGGGCAGCCATGGAGACACAAAGAAGCAGTGTTTCTCTGGGCAGCCTGATCAAAGTCTAGTGGCTTTGATTCCCCTCCCTGGGGAAGGCTGCCGGGCTTGCAGGGCTTACAGGCTGTGTTGTAAACCACCCCCCCCTTCTCAGGGAAGAGGTTGGCTAACTCTAGCCTGGGGGCCAAATCCAGCCTGCTGGCTTTTTTTGTTAAGCAGCTGAAAAAAAAAAAACAAAATATTTCCTGATGCGTGAAGACTGAGTGAAATTCAGAGTCCACTGTCCAGGCATGGAGTCTTATTGGCGCTTTGCCACACAGACCTCTGCTGGGTCTGTGGCTGCTTTGACCCCAGAGTGGCACGAAGTTAAGTCCTGCCAGGCCCTTTCCAGAAAAAAAACAAAAAAAACAAAAAGTGTGTGCTGACCCTGTCCTGGGAAGGCAAGGAAAAGGAGAGAGGCAATGTCACCTCACGTTTCCTGGAACAGGAGACCTGTTCCTGAAAGGACCTCCATGGGGCTCAAAGTGACAAGTCAAAGAGGGCTTGCCTGGAAAGGAGTCAGTTCACCTGGACATCTGCAGACCCCCAGACTTCACCATCTACTTGTGCAAATGACTTTTACTGACCTCAGGTTGACTTCTGCACAGGGGCCTGGGTTTAGCGACCTTTGGCCAGCCCTTAGTGTTCTGACTATCCCCTGGTGGTGGTGTGACCCTTTGGTGACTTGATAGCTCGTGAAGAAACAGTCTCACCTCTTCCCATGAACCAAGCAGCTTTTGTCAAAACTTGGTCTGGTTCATCATCTAGAATAACTGGAAACTCGTAACCTGACTATTTGCATATAGCAGTGATCATTTGATCCCTACAACCAAACCAGAGTCCCATGCTCTTCTCAATCCCATTCTACAGGTGAAAACACACAGGCACAGAGAGGTTAGGTCGTTGGCCTCAGGTCACACAGCTGGTATGTGGCAGAGCCAGGATTCAAAGTCAGGCCATCTGTTCTAGAGAACGAGGAAATGGACTGCTGTGCATTTGGCTGCCATTGTATAGCAGTGAATTCTTTGGGCTTCTGGAAGGGTCTGTTCCCCTTGTTTCACTCATGCCATTACAAGGCTCCATGAGAAAACTGCCTCTTTCCCTGCTTCCTTCCCTCTTTTCTTCTCTTCCTCCCTCCCCTCCAGTCCCTTCTACAGCCTGTGACTGAGTTGAATACCATGGGAGAGTCTGCATAGCTTGAGGGTATTTTGTGACCAAGATGAGTGCGAAAGAATCCATTTCCATTTAAAAGTCCTTCTTGGAGCCCTCAGGACTGGTGGGCTTTGAAGTGTTCCTGTAATTTCTGGGCTTTTCTTAATTGTCAGTGCCATCTCTGTGCCTCAAGCTGTATTTTAATGAAAAAAAATAACATAAAGTTACAGGAGGTTTGGGAGAGGCCAGGCCGCTGGCTTACCCAGTGGGAATGCCCCCCAGGGAGGGACCTGCCCGTCCTCAGGAGATGGGGTTCCAGGAACCAGGAATAAGAGGTCATTGATGGCTGAAGGAGCCATCTGCAGCCATGGACTGCTTGACAACAATTGTGTTGACTGCACCATGGTGGAGCCACTGACCTGGCTACCTGGGTTTGTGGAAAGCCTGCTGTGGTGGTCACACAGTGACACTACCGCCTAACATTGCAGTTTTGGGAAGTGTCCCTGTTGCTAAGTAACGCAAAACTGGATCACCCAGCCTGGTGCTTGGTAGAACTCACTCTCTTGGAACCAAAAGTGGCTTTTATAAGTGGCTTCATTTCTGCGCTGTAGATGTCTGTCTTGGCCCCTTGCAGACTGGCTGAGATGCATTTTTAGCTGAGTTTGTAACCTTCGGGGTGTGTTGCTTCCTAAATGTTGAGGACACAGTGCCATGGGATCAGGGAAGCGCAGTGGGTTTGTTTTTTCTAGGGGCAAAGCTAGGGTCTTTCTTCTTTCCTTCCCTGCTTCTCCCCACTCCTGGATGACTTTTTCTTTGTCAGACAACAAACCTTTTCAGCCCCATTCTGATGAGCTTCCCGTTCTTTTTTCAGTCATGCGGAGGAATCCTTTTGGTGTGGACATCTGCTGCCGAAAGGGGTCACGAAGTCCCCTGCAGGAACTCTACAACCCCATCCAGGTAAGACCCCAGATTTCTCTGCTCTTGTGACTTCGTCAGCACTTGTCCATTTGGGATGTGTGTTCAAATTTCACATGTTCTGAAGGATTTGAAACTTGCCTTCACCTCAGTGGTGGTTTTCTTCATCCCTCTTCCACTAGACATCCCTAATCTGAAAATCTGAAATCCAAAATGCCCCTAAATGCAGAAGCTTTTGAGAACTACAGTGAAAAAAATTTCCACACCTGACCTTAGGTGGTAGGTCACAGTCAAAACGGAGCTCCTTCACACTATGTGGATAAGGTGCATATGAAATATAAATGAATATCCCATTTAAACTTGAGTTCCGTCCCCAGACCTCATTTTGCACATGCAAATATTCTAAAATCAGAAAAAAAAGAAATCCCAAATCTGAAACTTTTCTGGTCCCAAACATTTTGGATAAGGGATGCTCAAACTATCTAACATTTCTGAAATTCTACCAAGAGATGTTGAAAAGTAGAAAAATGTGGGGTGTAGTGCAGACCTGCCCACGTTTGGACCCCTGAGTCTTCTGAACTTGAAGAGCCAGCTAGGCTGTGCAGAATCCCCAGTTGCACCCCAAAGAAGGTGTGCACACCAGTGCACGCAAATTCCACGTGGGATTATTAAAACTCTATGATGCTGACAAGCTTCTCCCTACTGGGCCAGTTTGGCCAGGCTCCCTTGTGTTGGGGACTTTTTGCTAAGTGACTGTCACAGTCAATCTGATTCTCCTGTGCTGTCGATTATGGAGCGATAAAACAGCTCCAGTCAAGAAGGGTCCTAAACGTGGAAAGTGAGAAGCACAGTTTGGAGGCCAGGTTGCCATGGCAACAGCCTCCGTGTTGTGTGGGTCTTGACGTGGGGACTCCAGGGCTGGTTCATTAGTAGGAACGTTAATTAGTATCCAGTGCCGAGAGCGGGTGAGTAAGCCACTAAGGCAACAGCAACTGCTGAAGAGGGGCTGGGGAGGGGAAGGTAGGGCTTTGGCCATATTTGTGGATGAATTCTTAATTTCGTGTTTCCGTGAACCACGGTGCTTGGTGGAAGAAGATACTGCTTGGTTCTCAAACTACTGAATTCCTACAAATCTTGCAAAGGCACGAGCTGAAGAACTTTCTTGTCCCACACCTCTTCCCAGTCTCTCGTCTGTCCTTCCTTCTGAAAAAGTGAGCTCTGGAGTGTGGGCATCCTGGTGGCCAAATCCCCTTGTCACTCCTGCCCTGGAGGTCTAGGTGGGTGAGGTCAAACTCACCTGGTCACTGCAAACAGAGCATTGCTTGAGGCTTAGCCTGCCTGGCTGTGTGCTGGCTCAGCAGGGAATTCTGTATTTGAGTTTCCTTTGGAGCTCCCGCTATGCGTGAGCACTCTCCACCTTCCCCTTCTGTGCCCCCATCTCCAGGAAGAGGCAGTGCCAGGCATTCTCCCACCCCAGCAATATAATTTGAAAGTTGGCAGATATAACTGTACATAGTAAGGGGTTTCATCACACTTCTGCATAACATATAATACATTTGGATCATACTCACCCCCTCTGCTGCTGTTTCTTGTTCTCCTTCCTCCGTCCCTTTTTTCTTTCCTCTCCCACCTCCAAGGTAGCTTCCCGTTTACTTTCTTGACTTTGGTTGATGTGTTGTATGTCCTCCTAGCTTCCCAAAATGAGAAACAAAAAAACATGCTATACTTGTCTTTGTGGAACTGGCTTATTTGCTTAATATGATGATTTCCAGTTCCATCCATTTTCCTGCAGATGACCTGCTTTCATTCTTCTTAATGGCTGAGTAATACTCCAGTGTGTATAGATGACATTTTCTTTACTTGTTCATCGGGTGATGGGTTCCTAGGCTGATACCATAGCTTGGCTATCGTGCTGTTGTGAATGGCAGCCCCAGGCTATGACCGCGTGTAGGATTTCTGGTAAGCTGTGTTGAAGAGCACACAGATGCAATCCACTCCGTCCTTTTGTTGACATCTTATGTTAACAGGGAGAGCTATTCTTGATGTGGCCACCCCTCTGACTTTCCGGGGCATACACTGAGCAGAGAAGGGTGGAGAGAGCCTGTGGTCAGACCTCTGTGTCGCTTACACTTGTAATCCCAGGGACAGCATGCAGGAGCTGCCTAGTGAGGGTGGAGCCTGCTTGGTGCCTCTGTAAGCCAGTCAGCGGGGAGGTGGCCCTCCTGGGGGGTGGTGGTCCTTCTGGCTAGTGCCATCTCCTCCTAGTGGTGGTGTTGAGTGTTGTCAGGGGTGAGGCTCACTTAACTTGGGAGGGAGGGTGGGGCTGGAGAGAGGAGCCTGGTGAGGGCGTAGGTGGGTGAGTCACAGTCCTTCTTTAAGGATGTCTTGGGCATGTTGGCTGGCCTTTCTGCCTGCAGTCAGGGAAATGTCCCTGCAGGAACATGGCCCCGTTTCCTCGGGATGTTTTTTCTTGGGCTGGCTTCCTTTACAAGCTGCGATTATGACCCATTCCCACGTAAGGTCTATAAGTGGCACTCTTGGGAGAAGCTGCCTTGGGCTGCGATGCGCTGGGGGGTTGAGAGGAGGGAAGGGAGCAGAGCTTCGGTTGAGCTTAGAGAGTTTTCTGTCCATAAGGTAAGTGCATTTCACACCTGATTAGGCTCGACCCCACTTTCTCATATTTTCCCTCCAACCAAGCTGTTGAAGCTGCCAAGCCCAGAATGATGTTGTCATGGAGGCAAATGACAAACCCTGTGATTGCTAGAAACCAAGTCCCTTTCGGAAATCATGTTTCCCTTTTCCATGCAGACTGGTTATTTGGGTTTGATATAGGATGGTAAAAGTAGGAACTGTTTATTTTATAAGAAACCAACATCATGGCAAGAAGGTTACCTTGTACCTGTAAGCCAGGTATGTGCTTAGAAACACCTCATCTGACCTGACAATAAGCCCGGTTGGCTATTACTTCCTCATTTTATGGAGGTGCAGGGAGGACTGAGGCTAATAATTTTATGTCCCTTATCCAAGGCCATAGAGCTAGTAAGTAACAGAATTCAACCTTGTATCAACTATAAATCCAAGTTTACCTCTGTGCTGTGCTCACCGCCTCTAGCAGCAATCACTTGACAGGAATTTTCTCTCCCCCCCCTCCCCCCGCCCCCAAACCAAACCCAAGGCTGGGCCCTGTGGCTCATCTCTGTAATCCCAGCTCTTGGGAGATGGAGTTTAGGAGGATGAAGGTTCAAGGTTTACCTGGGCAAAAAGTTCTCAAGACTGGGGTCTCAACCAGTAAAAGCAGAGTGCAGTAGGGTGCACCTGTCATCCCAGCTACGTGGGAGGCACAGGCAGGAGGACTGTGGTCCTGGCCAGCCTTGGGCAGAAATGTGAAACTATCTGAAAATTACCTACAGCAAAAAGGGCTGGAGGTGTGACTCACAATTGCCTAGTAAAAGTAAGGCTCTGAGTTCAAACCTCAGTACCACCAAAAACAAAACAAAACAACCCAACAACATTGGATAAAGGCTTAAACCTCCCTTGGGAAAAATGGCTATAATCTGATTAAATGTCCAGGATTTTCTTATTTTAGTGCCCTGCAAATCCCTAACCATTAAAACAACAATTGGTTAGGGGAAAAAAAACCCCAGAATCTAACTTTGTAGTTGATATTCTTAGCAAAACTGCACTCTGATGTCTTATAATTTTCCTGGTTCTCGCCTGTCTCCCGGACCCAAAATAAACCGTAATTGTGGATCAGATCAGCTGGTATGGAGTCACCCAAAGTTCACGAGTTGCCAACTGCCTATTTGTGGGCCAAGCACATCTGCGGGCCACCCGGGCCCAGCTCAGACTCGCAGGGCAGAGATCGGCTGTCAGCCATTAATAGGGCATAATTGCCCCTAAATGTCAGCGAGGGCGAGACGGCTTGTCCCGCTGCCTGGCCCGCCTCCCTGACCGCCTCCCTGACCTCCCGTGGGTTCCTGGGAGCCTCAGGCGTCGCGCATGCGCGTCAGCCCCCCCCTTACTTCTCCTGTCCCTGGGGACCAGTCAGCACTCAGGGATCTAACAGTGTTCTGTGTGAACTGTTTGAGACTCAAAGAAAAAAAATAAATAAAATCAGTAAGGAGGGAATTATGGCTCCTGAGCTGCTAAGAGTGGCCGGAACTCTGAGGCTACCCCACTACCTCCGTCCTTAATGGCCCCTTAGTGGTCTAGCCTGCAATGGGCCAAAACTAGCTTCCATCTCCCATCAGGTGGGATCCAGGAAGAAGGTAGGGGGATGGGGAGAGGGAGGGAGAAGAGAAGGGTGGGAGAATTGGTCATCGAGTGTGGAGTGCACGCCTGTGACTGTGCTAAGTGATTTCGGGACCTGTCCCATTGATCTCTTTTGTTGCTCCAGTGCTGGGGATGGAAACAAGGACCCCTGCGGAGCAGGTGCTCTTCCTGCTACTCAGCTACACTCACTGAATCTTTACAACAGCCCTCAGGAAGATCTTCAGTGACCCCATTTTCCAGATAACTGAGGCCCAGAGAGGTTGCACAATTTGCCAAGATCACATAGCTCCCAAATGATAGAACCAATTCTCTCTGACCCAGCTAGGATGTAGGAAGCAGCTCTTTCCGAGGTGGAAAACCGCTTCTGGGAGAGTCTTCAGCAGAAGCCTAGGGTGTGCTCGGGACCGGTTGTGAAATCCCCAGAGACAGGATGTGGACTGGTGTGGGAGGCACAGTGGGTTATGACTTCTTTATTGCTTGCTGGGCCTTATATTTGACCTAGGCAGGGGGAGGCCTTTGTCTCTGGGTTGGGCCAGGCTAATCAGGTGTCAGCTCTGCCCACCGGAACGCGTTGTGGGCTGGTGGGTTTCATAGTCTGCTGATGCTTGGTTTACGTGTTGATCGATACAAGCTTGAACAGTAGCAGGGGTGGAGCTGGGGGTGGAAACCTTTCTTAGCCCCAAGCTAAGGAGCTTTTCCATCAACACTTGCTTGAATTTGCTTCTTCTATAGAAGCTTCTAGAATAAATGGAGGAACTGGCCTGGGAGGA